GGGTGGGCCCTGAGGCCAGGCCACGCTCCCGCAGGCTGCCTGGACCGGCTGTTCGTGTGCGCGTCCTGGGCGCGGAGGGGCTTCTGTGACGCCCGCCGGAGGCTCATGAAGAGGCTGTGCCCCAGCAGCTGCGACTTCTGTTACGGTGCGACCAGGTCCCCAGCTCGGGCCCAGGCGGGGGTGGGGTCAGGGCGCTGACGTGACCCTCCCGCACCCGAGCAGAATTCCCCTTTCCCACGGTGGCCACCACCGCGCCGCCCCCCAGGACCAAAACCAGGCTGGTGCCCGAGGGCAGGAACGTGACCTTCCGCTGTGGCCAGAAGATCCTCCACAAGAAAGGCAAAGTGTAGTGAGTGACCCACCTGTGACGGTGGGGGTGGGCGCCGGGGCTCGGACCCGCCGGACTCTGCCACCCTGCCGCCCTGCCGCCCCCGCAGCTGGTACAAGGACCAGGAGCCCCTGGAGTTCTCCTACCCCGGCTACCTGGCGCTGGGCGAGGCGCACCTGAGCATCATCGCCAACGCCATCAACGAGGGCACGTACACGTGCGTGGTGCGCCGGCGGCAGCGCGTGCTCAGCACCTACTCCTGGCGAGTCCGTGTGCGGAGCTGAGCGCCCTCTGCAGGCCGGCTGATAAAGCGCTTTCTCTCTGACGTGTCTGCGCCCTTTCTTGGGAGGGCAAGGGGCAGACGGCCAGTCTTGGGCCTTGTAGCAGGGGACACCTGGCTGGAGGCCTAGCTGGATGTAGGGAGTGGGGGCCAGGACACCTAAACTTCCCTGCAGTTCCTCGAGGTGAGGATGCAGTCTACAGCGACCAGGGGGCCAAGAGCTTTTCTAGGCTGTTCTTGGAAAGGTGGGGACGAGGCCCATCTGCCATCACCTGGGGGCGCAGACTGCTGTGGAGCCGGCCCAGGGCCCTCTTGGGTTTGCTCTGGGGCAGGTGTGGCAGGAAGGCTGGGCTGGGGAGCGTGGGGCCTCCAGCACGGAAGTGCCAAGGCGGGGTGGGCCGGTGGCACCTCAGAAGTTGGGAGATGGGGCTGGTGATGCTCACAGAAGGGCCTGGTGTGACACAGGTGGAGGCCCTGGGTGGTGGCAAGCGTCCCCTCTGCCTGAGGGATTCCCAGCCCCCCTCCAACCAACTAGAACAGGAGCTGCAGGTCTGGTGGGCCAAGAAGAGCCTGGCCCATGTGGGGCCAGAGGCTACACCTCACCCCGTCTGTCCTTGTCCTCGCCATGTGTGCATGTGTGGGGACCCAGCCTGGGACAAGTGGCTGAAATAACATACTGAGCCTTCCTCCAGGAATATTTTACTGTACTTTAAAATGTCACCACCTCGTACAAAAAAGCCACATGGCCATGCTCACACCCCCAGCTCTGGGGGACCGGGGGACCTGGGGACCTTGGGGCTGTGGATGCTGTGGGTGAGGGCAGGAAGGTGCCAAAGCAGAAGCCCTAAAGATGGGAAAGCAGAAAAATCCCCCACGGCTCCATTTCAAATCACTGCCAGTATGACAGGCAGAGCCCCCTGGGTCATGGTGGCCGAGTGTATGTGTGGAGGGGATGTGCTATCCACACTGGCCACCTGTGTGTGGACACCTGCACTCTCCCCGTAGGGCAAGTCCGATACATCTGAAAGAAAATATACCCTTTCCTTCCACAAGGAAATGATTTAATTCTACAAATTTACAAACCAAGACAAAATAAAAATGAAACATGGAAAACCGAATAGAACCAGTGGTCCAAGTCTCGAGGTTGCTATTCACAGCAGCAAGGGCCAAAGCAGCTGTGTCCAACTGGGGCAAGACCTGGGTCTGGACCCAGATGCCTTCTCCAGCTCCTGCCCCTGGTCCCAGCTGACCCTGGATAGTCAGCATTCCCCGAGATTGGTCTGGGGTCCACCCTGAACTTCAGAACTTGAGGCTGAAGCCAGGGCCCGCGGCTGAGGCCCCCTGGTTGGTGGTAGTGAGGTGGAAGCCGGTCTCCTTCAGGTCATCATCTCCCTGGGGAGCAAGTGGCACTGTGGGACCCTGGCCGGGCCAGCCCCACCCTGGAGAACCACCCCCACCTCCATCACCCAGCAGCCCGCCCCTTACCAGCTGGCTGTAGCCCAGGCCTCCCTCAGGCGGCCGAGGGCTGGTGCCCCGCTTCACCCTTTGCTGCTCGCTCTTGGCAGGCCACGTGGGGAACATGGAGGGGTCGATGGGGAGGGGAGTCTCTCGGAAATACTCGTGCTTGAGGCCGTCCTCGGCGCTGACCCTCCGCCCAGGGAAGTAGGTCAGGAACCTGGGAGAAGACAGCACTTGCGGGACCACTGCAGGGTGGGGCCTGGGAGGCGGGGACTACTGTGGGGCAGGGCCCAATGTGGGGCGGGGCCAGGGAGCCACACCCCACACGCACTTGTTCATGAGGTCGAAGCCGTGATCGGAGAGCAGGGCCCCGAAGCGCTTGCGCAGGTTGTTGTAGGGGTACTCGGTGAAGGTCATCTTCTTGACCGCAGGGAGCTCGTTGTAGCCAGGCCAGATCTTCTCACTGGGCGTCCCCAGGTCCTGAAAGGAGGCTGTCTCAGGCTGGCCACGTCCTGCAGGTAGCGCCCCCCCATAGGACACCCTGACCCACCTTAAACACTTTGTTGATCTGATCGATTTCTGACTTCCCAGGGAACAGTGGCTTCTGAGTCAGCAGCTCCCCAAAGATGCAGCCCACGGACCACATGTCCACAGCTGTGGAGTACTCCTGGGGAGCAGGGACAGGCTCAGGGGGCTGGCGGGGCCACGTGCTTAGGGCAGGCCCCAAACGGCCCAACACTCACCTTGGCACCAAGCAGCAGTTCTGGGGCGCGGTACCACAGGGTCACGACCACTGGGGTGTAGGCCTTCAGAGGGGACCCATACTCCCGTGCCAGCCCAAAGTCTCCCACCTGCAAGGACAGGGCGGTGGTCGGCAGGCTGCGGCTGGGAGCCGGGAGCCGGGCGCCCCTCGGCGGGCGGCGGGGCTCACCTTGAGGATCCCAGCATGGCTCAGCAGCAAGTTGGACGTCTTGAGGTCGCGGTGCAGGATCCAGTTGTCGTGCAGGTGCTTCACACCACGCAGCAGCTGGATCATGAGTGTCTTCACCTCCCCTGAAGGCAGTGGTTTCTCAGTGGCCCCACGTGGGCTGCTCCCCCGCGTGCCCACCCACCTCGGTAGCGACCAGGTTCTCAGGGGCGTGGAGCCCGGGAGCACGCACCTGGTGTCCCAGGGTCGGGGTCACAGGCTAGCGTTCCCCCACCCCCAAGGACACTGCCTGTGGCCTGGGCGGCCTGAGGGTGAGCAGTCCTCACAGGGACACGGGCCGTACCTGGCAGGAAGGGCTGCTTCATGGTCTCCATCAGGCTCTTGAGGTCGTGCTCCACGTAGTTCATGACGATGTAAATCTTGTCCATGTTGCTGCCCACGACTATCTCCTACAGACGGCAGCAGGTCCCGCCCGTGACCACCGGCTCTCCCAGGAGGCCCAAGACCCTGGGGCAGAGACTGGTGACAGCGGGACCTGCTAGGCGTGAGGACTGATGAGCCCGCCTGTGTGGCCGCCTTACCCTGACCGTCACGATGTTGGGGTGCTGCGCCTTGAGGATGGTGTTGATCTCCCTCAGCGAGGTGATTGGGAACCCCTCCTTCTCCTTCTCCATCTTCAGCCGCTTCAGAGCCACGATTTCGTCTGAGAGCAGTTTGAGGACAGATGCTGAGAACGCACGGTCACGGGGACTCGGAGCGCCCCGACTGCACTGGAGGCCGCATCCGATCGGAGTGCGTGTCTCCGGCCAGAAGCCCAACCGTGGTTGCCAGAGGCATGCAGTGCACTCCCAGACCCGCTGCTGTCCAGAACCACTGGGACCTCCCGCCTCTGCCCACTGTCGCCGTGGGCAGGTGTAACCAACCCCAATGGCCCCACACAGCATTATCTGCCAGGTGCTCAAGGTCTCAAACAATCACTGGCGTTCTGAGACCCGGTTACAGGCACTGCGACTGTCCAAGGGCCGCCACTTGAGGCCGATGCTCTGTAGCCTGAGCCTGAGCCCAGCTGACTCCACACCCCCTAAGGTGGCAAGTCACCTGCTGTCACAGCCACGCAATACTCTCATGTGACAGCTGCTCTGGAATGTGTCACTATGAGTCATCACCTGGTGCTGGCCAGGTAAGGTCAGGCCATGGCCCAGCACAAGGATGGGGCGACTCCCAGGACCACAAGGCACTATGCTCAATGACCTCGAGGCTGAGGGGCCAGGCTGGCCGGGCTCGGGTCTCAGCCCCGAGAGCCAACCAGGAACCCAACCGCCCTTGGGGAGTTAGTGCTGGGCCTGCGACAGCAGCGGGCCAGCCGAGGACAGCGCCCCTCGGGTGCGGCTCTCCGGGCACCCAGACCCTGCGCACCTGTCTTCTTGTCCTTGGCTCGGTACACCACGCCGTAGGTGCCTTCTTCGATCCTGTTCAGGCACTGGAACTCCTCCACGCTCCGGCAGCCCTGGTGGGGACACTGGCGTGAGGCCTGGCCGGGCCGGCCCTGCACAGTGCCGGCGCAGCGAGGCCGACCCGAGGGGTCCCGGAGCTGCGACCCAGCATCTCCTGTCGCCTTCAGCGAGCTCGTGCCCCTTGGCCACGATCTTAAACCGAAGTGGAAAAGAACCGAGCCAGGCCTGCCCTGCCTTACGGCGACACTGAAGACAGCCGACCCCCCACACCAAGCCCGTGTCTTCCTGCTGTGTTGTCCTGCCAGGCCAGCGAGTGCACCCTGGGGAGCCTGAGCACGTGAGGCCACTCGCCCCTCTCAGGACGGGCTCCTTCCCAGGCCCTCACCGTGGTGTCCCTCATCACTGACCCTCCCTTATGACCCTGCACAGCAAGAGGGTGAGGAAGGGCAAGTGCCCAGTCACCAAGCTGCCTGCCATGCATGGGCCCCGCTGGGGCCTCAGGAGCTGTCCCCACCACTGCTGCCGGGCAAAAGGTTGGACTACGGACATGGAGACTGGTGCTTGAGCCTGGCCAGTGACTTCGCGCAAGGGCGGTCCCGGCCCCCTCTGGTGAAAGACCACCGCACTGGGGACTTGGCTTCTGCTCTTGGCCACCGGCCCTGTGGTGACGGGCGAAGCGGAACCAGGCTGGGCAGCAGGGTGCCTGACCTGCAGGGCGGGCAGGTACTTGGGCAGCTCCTGTTTGAGCTCGATGGGCGACAGAGTGGGCGAGTCGGGCACGAACTCCCCCTCGGTCAGGGCGCTGCTCTGCGGGGTGCCCTCGCCAGCATCCTCCTCTCCTTCTTCACTTTCTCCGGAATCTCGGTCAAATCGGGACTCTGGAACTTCAAAAGTGAAACCCGATTTCGAAACCAGGAATGAGCAATTGTCACAAGCCCCTTCCTGCTCTGGGGGGGTGGGGCTGGAGAGGGGGACACAGTGCACAAAGAAGACACTGAGCAGTGACCCCGGGGCCTTGGGGCCCGCCGGCTCTGCCAAGCCGCTGATCGGAAGCGGAGCTCCGAGGTGGTGTGTCTGGAACTGGTCTGTCAGGCCTGAGGGCGCAGAGCTGCCTGCAGGCCACGCCAGCCCCACGCGGCCTCGGCCCCCAGTTGGACCTGAGCTGCTAGGGCCAGGGCGGGAGTCCTCAGCCCCCGTCTGTCCAGGCCACAGCAGCACTCAGGATAGCATTCAGTTAGCACTGTCCCCTCTGAGAAATCCGGACCCCCATGGGAACAGTGAGGTGCTTTGTGAGGTGCCCAGTTCTAGGAGTCGGCTCGTCCTGGAACACTGCCAGGCCAGGACCTCCCTGTGGCTTCTGGGGCATGAGGTGCCTTGGAGAAGGTTTCCTGGACTGCCACACAGTCACACTCATGGCTGTTAGAGTGCCACCGCACTGGGGGACAGGCGAGAAGGCCAGCCGTCGCGGGGAGGCTGCTCACCCATGAGGACGTGGTTCTCGGTCTCACGATCGTCATCGCTCGCCTCGTCGCTCACTTCCTCTGCAAGGCAAAGTGGCGTCGGCCAGGCCAGCTGGGTCCGCCGCGCCCCAGGGCCCCGCCACCCCACGCGCTTCCGAGGCCACCCGTCTGCTCCGCGGACGGCCAGGAAGCAGCACGTGGGGACCTCCAGTGAGGCCCAGAACGCAGGGATGTCCAGTTTGGAACGTTTCAGGGTCAGACTTGAAAGCGCGTCCCGTGGCCTCCGACCCTGCTCGCTGGCACCCCACTCACCGGCCGACGGCGCGGACGCATCCTCCGAGTTGCTCCCCGTCTCCTCCTCCTCCTCTTCCTCCTCCTCCTCCTCTTCCTCCTCCTCCTCCTCTTCCTCTTCCTCCGAGTCTTCGCTGCTGCTGCCCTCCTCCTCCTCTTCCTCCTCCTCCTCTTCCTCCTCCTCCGACCCTGATCCCGACTCCGCTGCAGGCGGGAAGCAGCAGGCCATGAGCGCGGGGTCCCCCTCTGCAGCGGCGCCATGGGCCTCGGCCGCCGACTTGCTCACCTGAGGAGGACTCGGCCGAGCTGGTTTTCCTCTCGCTGTCGCTGACGTCCTGCAAGTCAGACAGCAGGTCCCTCTCCTCCACTTTCTCTTCTTTCACTTCCGGAGCAAACCAGCAAAGGTGAATTTGGGGACAGGTTGTGACATGAACAAGACCAGACAGAACCTCTCACACAAGGACGAAGTCGGTCTGAAGGGGAACAGCTCGCGCACACACACTCAGGGGAAAACTCTAATGGGCCGGCAACGGGCGTGTCGGGCGACAAGTGCCTAACTCACTTCACACCACCATTGGCACCTGCTCTGCGACAGGAAGCACTTAGCACACCACCCTGCTGTGAAGACGACAGAGACCCACACGCGCGGCCAGCCTCACCTGGCTTCCGGCCGTCGCCCAGCTCGAACCTCTCTCGGGGCGGCCGGAGCGGGCTGCGGCTCCAGTGGCCGGCCTTCCCCTTATCGCCGTAGTCCTCTCTCGTCGTTCGGTGATGCGCAGACCCTGGTGCCCAGGACACAAGAGGACGTGGCGCTGGCAGCACCCTCTTTCCGACAGGGCCCCCTCGGTCACCTCGCACCCGCACCCATGCTGATGGTGACAGCCCGCGTGACACGGCAGACACGGCCCCAGGACACACAGTTGCTAGCAGCACCCAGGACAGAAACCAAGGAGCCAAGGAAAGACAGCTCCAACCCGGAGGCTGGGAGCGGACCCGGGACCCAGACTGCCCACTATTGGTCACAAGGGGCAGGCCCGGAACTGCCTCTGCAGGCCAGAGCCCAGGCGCCAGAGGACACCTGGCACAGGGGACACGCTACAGCGGCCCTGCATTCGGCCCGAGATGGCCCTGGACCACGCCCTGGGGACAGCTCCCCCGCACGCCCCGCACAAGCCACTGTCCCCTTCCGCTCCCGGCCCGTCCCGCCTGCCTGCCACCGCCTCCCAGCATCCCCGTCCCCGGCTGTGGCTCGGCCCCAGGGTGGCGGCTGCGGGCCGAGGCACCAGCACTCACCGCGGGAGCGGCTCAGGGCGAGGCCCCCACCCGCGCGCGCACCTTCCCGCCGCGCCTCCCGCTCCTTGCGCCGCTCCTCCGCGCGCCGCTCCCGCTCCTTCTGCTCCCGCTGCTCCTTCTGCTGCTCCCGCAGCTTGCGCTCCCGCTCCCGCTTCCTCTCCAGCTGCTCCAGGCGGTCCCTGCAACGAGCACTGCCAGCGTTCCCCCAACGCACAGGCGGCTTCGCTCCCAGGGCTTTGCGCTCAGATTTAAAAATGCCTTTTCAGGTTATTCGACCCATAAAGGGCTTTCTAAAGGCAGCACGAACTCACAAAGCCGTCCCGAGGGCACGGGCACAACGGCAGGAAGCGCTGCTGCCAGGGGCCGCTGGTTCCGCCCGCTCCTGTGGGCCAGGCCCACGCAGAACCCGCCCCCACCCCAGGAGCTGCCCAAGGACGCACCCAGCACCCTCACGGCACCTGCACACGCGCCCGCCCGTGCTCCGCTCACCGGGCCACGGCTGGCGGACCCCGGGCCGCTGCCCGGTCCCATGTGGCGGGGAGAGGAGAGGGGGCATGAGCGGCACGATGGGCTGCGGGGAAAGCTGCTCTAAGGTCGGTTATCACCTGGAGCACAGGAAACACCAGTGACTGAAATAAGGCGGCCAAAGAGTGAGGACTGATCATAGGTAACTCTCGCGTCCCTGATCTTAAACCCAAATAACCCCTTAAAGAGCTAACACGCTTTTAAAAATAGATCATTATACACACACAGAAATGAGCACAAGCCAAAAATGGTGAAAACGAAAGAAGGCCTGTGGTGTCACCATCAGCCCCGGGCCAGCACCGGTCCGCAACAGCTCAGCACCTGGGTGGCTGCGTGAGGACATGGAGCTTGAGGCACGAGTATGTGAATGGCTGCGAGTCCGAGCTGCTTCAAAGCAAAACTGAGGGATGATTTATGTGTAAAATCCACCCGCTGCATCGTGTTTCACGAGCTGACGAAGTTGTACAACCATCACCACAGCTTCTCCCTTTTCCTGTTTACAAAGAACCAGCGCAGCTCGCTGCCAGTGTTAATTCAACATCAAACGTCAGGAGGCTACGTTTTCCAGGACTTGACATTTTCAGCGATCGAGAACGTATTTTGTAAATGGGAATACTGCTACTAAAGACAGAATGCCAGAGTGATGCCATTTGATAAAGGACGGTCGATACACTAGAGTGACGCAAAAATAATAAAAGTGAGATGTTTCATGGCAAACTCAGGATGACGTTAGGATTGTGATCTGCGAGTCATCTCGGGGTAAAAGCCACAAGCGCCACTGGCCAGTGTTCTTGGGGCAAACGGGAAGCGCGTTAAAACATTCCAGTCACTGATGTGTCCCTCACGTCCACCGTGCTCAGTCCCCACCCCGCAAACCTGCTTTCATCGGCTTTGGATTTCTGGACATTTCCGCTGCTGCTCTGGGCTGAATGCTTTTTCTTCGTCTCTTTGGGTAGAAGCTTATGGTATTGAATTCGCAACGTCCTTTTCTGACTTCAGTGCTTAAGCTAAAACACTGCACTCTAAGCACAGCCTTAGCTGTGTCCCTACACTTTGACTGTTTTCATTTTCATTTAGTTCAAACTATTTTGTTTTTCCTTATAATTTCTTCTTTCGGCCGTTGCTTATTCAGAAATGTGTCGTTGAATTTCTAAACACTGGGGATCTCTCCAGGTTTCTGTTGCTGATTTTGAGTTAAATTCTTTTGTGGTAAGAGGACATACTTTGACTTCTTTTAAATTCGAGCACCGTTACACGGCTTAGCATGTGATCTACGTTGAAAACGTCTCATGAGCTCTTGAAATAAATCTATACGCTGTAGCTGTGGGTGGAATGTAATATCCACGTTAGATTGAGTTGGTTAATATTTTCCAAATTTTCTGTATCTTTGTTGATTTTCTCTAGTTGTTCCATTGACTGGAGACATTTCCGACTGTCATCAACGAACTCTCTCTCCTTTCCATTGTTGAGCTTTGCTTCACGTATTCTTGGACTCTTGTACTCCATGCGTATACATTTGTTATTCTACCTTCCGATAGTGCGCCTTTTTGTTACTTTTTATTATTTGTCTTAACCTCTTTTTTGCCTGACATTTAGAATAGCCACTCGAGATCTCTTGTGGTTGCTGTCTGCATGGTGGATCTTTTCCCAACCTTTTACTTTCAACCCATTTTTGTCTGTGGCTCTAAGATATCCCTCCTGGAGTTGGATCTTGCTTCTCTGACAATCTTGCCCTTGTCTGGGGCACAGAGTCCGTTTCACGGTTAATGTAATTATGCCTATGGTTGGGCTTCCTTTTGTGCTTTTGCTCTTTGTTTTCTCCGTCTTCTTTTTTGTGCCCATTTTGGATTTAAATAAGTATCTTCAGCGTACCACTTAACTTTTCCGATTTGATACTTAGGTGTTTGCTCTAGGGGTCATAGCGACCCTAATTCCCATGAAACAGAGGGCCTGTTCCAGTGCAGCCTACACGTGGTATGTGCTACGTGACAATATATTCATAATTGTCATTCTGCACGATCTCGTGTCTTTTGTAGGAGACGTTGAGAAGAAACGTCTGTATAGATTCTGTACGTAACCCACTTTTACCATTTCCGGTCGTGTTTTTTTCTTCCTGTGGATTCGATACCTTCTGGTGTCACTTCCATTCAGCCTGAAAGTCTCGAGTGTCTCCCGTAAGGCGGGTCTTGCTAACAGTGGAACCCACCGGTCCACACCCACCTGGGCAAGTCTTTATTTCCCCCTCCCTTCTGAAGCAGCTCTGCTGGGTGTACAATCCTCGCTGACAGGTTTGCTCCCGGCAGTGTGACTATGCCACCCCGCCCCCGCGCCCCCAGCACCGAGCAGCCTGCCACCAACGGCACAGACGCACTCGCGTCCGGAGACAGCTTTTCTCTTGCTGCTTGTTCTCATTTGGCTTCCCCCAGTCTGACTATGACGTAACTGAATTTGCTGTGCCTGCAGCTCACTGATCTTTTTGGAAATGCTGATGAATATTTTTCATCAAATTTGGGAAGTTTTCGCTGTTATTTTAAAAGACACCTTTGTGCCCCTTCCTTTTTCTGTCCTGGGGCTGCCATGACACAGCTGTCGTCTCGCCGATATTGGAGGCTGTTCATTCTCCTTCAGTCTTTTTTCTCCTCAGAACGCGTGGCTTCCACAGCGCCATCTTCCAGTCCCTTCTCCCACGTCCTCTGAAGAGTCCAGGTCTTCGCTAAATCTGGAACACATGCAGCTTCTACTGATGCCTTTCTTCCTGGACAGGGGTCACTTTTTAATTTTTTTGTAGGTCCTGAGACTTTTTGTGGAAAATTGGACATTTTCGATTAACATGTTGTAGCAACTCTGGATTCTAATTTCTCCTCAGTTGTTGCTCTTTACCGTATTTGGCCAAATCCGTGAACTCCTGTCTCCGTGGCAGACTGTGGCCACTGCCATTTCTTTCCGTGTTTCTTTTTTTCCCCAGCTTGACTTCCTTGGGGTCAGCGCTGTGCCTGCACAGCTGTAAGGTCGGTCTGCACCGGACAGTCAGCACTTGGCTGTCCCACGCGCTGCCTGCAGCCTGGACACTGTGAGAGTTGAGACTTTCACCTTCCGGCCTCAGCCCCCACCAGACTGGTCACGAGAACGAAGGCTGTTCTCACGGACCTTCTTTAAACGCCTCTTCTGCTCACCTAGGCTGCCGGGACAGAAGCGCCATCTAGCCGTCCATTTCTCCCTTCTTTACCGCAGGCCAGCACCCAAGCTTTCTCTGGAAATGACCCCAACACACAGAGGTGGCCCTAGCATTCACACCTGTCTGTTCACCCTTTACCTGGGCTATGGAGGACAAACCTGGGGCTAACCAGATGCTCTTTCCTGAGAATCTGAGCCCGGAGAGAGGCACCTGGGGACAAACGCCCAAGGGTCTGGTGTCCCAGCTCCCAGACTGTTTCAAGGCCTTTCGGATTTCATTTCTTTCCTTTTTTCTTTTTTTGAAAGAACCAGTTCACTTCTATTGTAACCCAGAGAACACTAAACGGTATGTGTCCTTGGTCTTCCTGACCTAGACCACCCAGAACAGAGCCTGGTACCAAGCAGGCGTTGGCTACATACTTGCTAAGTAAGAGATGGTGAGTCATTCTCCACCAGACTTCTCCCGAGCACTAATTCTGTGTCAGAATTTACACACGCAGACCAGGCTGTCTTCAATACGGTTCACTCTACTATGACTTGAATACAATACGCTACTAAAGATGGGCAGGGCACTCACCCTGCTCCCACAGGGCGCTTCCCTTACCATCCTGACGCGCCGAGTGCACAGGTGCTTACATTTCCTCTTCCGTTTCCCTGTCATCAGCTAACAGGTCTAGGAAGACCATCTACCCTACTCTACCTTCCTTTGCTCGCCACTGATCTACGTCTGACCCAAACCTTCCTTGAGTCCATGTTCCTATCTCAGACCTGCAGCAACGTCCCTTCCTTCAGGCCCGTTTCACACTTACGCGAGGTCTCGGGCACGAATTAAGACCCGGCTCACGGGCCCCCAGCAGCTCCCCCGCCAGCCTCCGCCTGGAACAAGCCGACACACGGATTTCCGTTCCCCTCATGATCTCTCAGTGGGTTCACACCCGTTTCCATCCCCCAGATGCAGTAAAGACTCACTTCCTTCAGGATGATTCTCGTGGCTGATGTCACCCAATGTTTACTGGGCTGTGACTCTACGCTCACGCACCACTCCCGCGCCAAGTTACTGAGTCAAAATGACGGCCTCTTCCATTCCGATGGGATGCTGACCATCACGCGCGCTTAAAGCCCCTTAACCGAGCAAGGCCTCTCACCTCTCTCTCCTGGAATGTTCTCTTGCCATCTCCCTCCTCTTCTGTCTCTCCCATTCCCGGCGAGCTTTATCCTGTTCCTCTCGATGTCGCTTCCGGCGCTCGTGTTCTCTGTCCTTCTCTTTCACTCTCGCGTGCTTGCCTGAGGAGAGACAAGTGTCCCGCAAAGAAGCTTAACTTCCATGTAATCTGAAAATACCCAGTGCAAGAAGAAAAAATGTTTAATTAATGATTTAGAGATCATGATTTTATGTTAAAAAAAAATGACATAAGACACTATGTGATAAACCTTTACTTAAGGAAACAAAATAATGTCATCACTAAACAGAATTGTGATTTTCACCGTATTTTAAAAATCTCATCTACTGAATAATCTATGATTATGTCGCATTACTTTCATAATTTAAAAATATCAAAATAAAAAAATAAAAAATAAATAAAAGTAAAAATATCAGCACTCATGAAGAATACAGGACAAAGCTTGGCTCCTTTCGGTGGATCTCTACATCATAAGATCATGTCACTCGACTGCATTTATAAGTATAAGATTTAAGTCAGGCCCAGGTTGTTTTCCCAAATCCCTAAGCAGCTCTTGATATTGGCATGAGAACAAACCCATTATTTGGACTATATCAAGCACCCAAATTTCAGCTAAAGCAACTTGGCACTGAAGGGTGTGTTTTCCCCCTGCACTTGTGAATAAAGACCATTTTAAATGCAAACAAACCGCCCCATTACAATGTAACGTGCAGAAAAAACACCAGAAGGAAAACAAAACAGCTCTTCAGAACGACCTAGGATTAGTCCACGTTTTTAGCTAGTTTACTTTCTCTTCTCTGTGAGCCGAGTTGTGGAGAGGGCAGCAGACATGACCTGGAAGCAGAACACGCGTGGGAGCGACACAGAACGCGGGTGCCCCGTACCCCCCTCTGCTGAATGGCTGCGGTGCCTGCGCTTCTCTTTCCTCTTCTCGTCTTTCCTGTGATGAGCTTTTTCTTTCCGAGACATTTGCTGAGGTGGTTTGATAGCCAAAGAATCATCTTCCTCTCCTCTGAAATAAGACACAACAGCATGACGTCACGCTTGAGAAAGTAACACTAGGAGCACCAGGTACGATGGAGTTTCTTTTAACACAGAAAAATGCAGGGTTTGCGATATGAATAAAGCTGAATCTGAGCCACCACTTAAAAAGCGTTAATTACGAAAAAAAAAAAAAAAGCCGAGACTGTAAATTAACGCAGACTCGTGTGAAGTGTGAGTGAGAAAATCAGTGTTGCGTGCGGAACAAAAATGCCTCTGAGGAACCTTCGGGGACGATGGCTGCGTCCACTCTCTTGACTGTGATAAAAGTTCGCAGGTGTGTAAAATGGATCAAGTTGCACGCTTTGACAGATGTGCAGCTTATTCTGTCATTTACACCCCAATAGGGCTGTTAAAAAAAAAGGTCTCACATTTTTTAATCAAAATGACCTCAAACGGTCACTTAGTATCTTCAACTGTCTACGTAACTGAAATCTTTGGAGAAGTCACACCCCATGCCTTTCTACCTTAATTACTGGCTCTGTTGCCTTTAATCACGTGATGACGGATGAGAGAAAACACGTGAAGAGTGACCATGACGCAGGACAAAGCGTCAGAATGAACAGACGTCGTCAGGGCCATTTCCGCTCGGAGGCTCTGCTCAAGACTCTTTGAGCATTCGACCTTGGTTCGTTTGTACAAAATTTTAGACGGTGATTTTCCGAATCGTCACAAACATACAGCACAATGATTGAAGTGCGCTACGTAAATGGTGCTGGCTTGACCAAGAATAATCGCAAAGAAAAGCGCACGCCCTCATCTGGTTCTTCCATAGAAGTGGGGGTGGGGTGAAACTGACACCGCGCAGGAGCCCATTTCAATGGTGAGGTAAACCTAGGAAACCTAAAGTCACTACTCTGAACCTGCTGGATGTAGCACCGAGAAAGGCCAGCCAGGACCAGCACTATGTGGCGTGACCCCGCTTGCATTCTCGGTGAAGCACGCCACGGCCTGGGTGCTCTTCCTCCTCACGCGCCCCTCTCACCTGTCCTCCATGGAGTCCTCCCTCCGGTACGGCGAGTTCCTGATGGTTATCTCCATGCGGTGGTCCCTCAGCTCCCCCTCCTCAAGGGAATCCCGCTTGGAATCCCGGTCATCTGACTAAGAAGCAAGCAGGAAGTTAGTTATTTTCCTCACAGGAAAAACATATTTTTAATGATAATCGAACCCGGCCAATATCCAAAAACAAACTTTCATATACACTTTTTCTTTAAAAACACTTCATATGGGCTTTTATATTTAAAAAAAAAAAAAAAAAACTTTCATTCAAATCCCGTGGCATTAAAAATTACAACTTCCTGTAAACCGAGAATCTGAGATGAGAAATTTAAAACCAGCATATTTGACAAGGGACATCAGTCACTATGCCAAGCACGTTAGTTGTATATAAGAGCCAAAACTGAGTCTTAAAGCACATTATATTTACCAAATACTTTGTGAGATCTCATAAAACTCACTAAATACTTAAGAGCCTCCTATTAATCTTATCAGAAGAGGCATTTTTTACCAATGCCCCTTATCAAATTACTAATGTTTTTCCCAGTATGTTATCTGAACCAAGAAACACGTAAAACGTTAACGTCAAGACAACTTCCTGCTATATCAAAAATACTTGTAAATGGTATTGTGAATACACTAATAATGAAATGAGAAAAATTAGTCCAATTGCACTAATGTATTTAGGTTTAAAATGCTTTATTCTCCAGGTAGACACTGTCATCTACATACGGCTTTAGTATGTTATCAGTCTGCAATGTAAACTGAGTATTCGAATGTTTTTGTTAATTTTTAGAATAGATTTTGGGCTCACCTGCGACATTTGGAAGTACAAAAGAACTTCACCGAAGAAGCGTTGTTCTAATGGAAAAATGAGGGCAAAGAAATTAAATTTTCTTTTAAGAAAACCCCTTACTTAAAAAATATGGCTTACATTTTTTAAGCGTTTTATCTCTGCTTTTTCCTCTTGTTCTTTCCGACGTTTCTTTTCCTGAAGAATTTCATCTAAAGTTTTCACTTTCCAAGAGTCCTTTTCATCACCCATTTGAGTTAAAACACTACAGAAACAAAAGAATTCAAGATCTGTCAGAGATGACAAGCTACAGTTTGACGCTATGTTGTTTCTGGACACTTTTGCGCGCGCTTCGTTAGGAGGAATGGGCTCTGAAAAATGACTGGCTGGGTTCCGGTCTCTTTTCTGTCACTCCTGTGCGGTGCTGGGCAAGTTACTTCGCCTCAGTTTACCTTCTGTAAACGGCAAGAACGACGCCGGCACAGCAGTACCGCTCGGGGACTCAAAGGGACCACCCCTACCCAGCTCAGTACCTGGCACTGCCCGGCACCGTTTCTGCTATCGCAGCCTGTGAAACAGACCGCGCGGGAAGCGGGAGCTGCGGGCCCACCTGACGGCTGCAGCCTCCAGCACGGGACGGCGGGGGCCTGGGGCGGGGGGCGTCCGACTGGGCGCACTCGGAGACCAGGCC